AGTTTTTTCGAATTTGGTGAAGAAAGTCAATATTATCTTGATGGAGGTAGCATTAGATCTATAAATTACTTTGGTCACTATGGCCATTTTCACAATATACATTCTTCCTATCTATGAATATGGAAAGTTTTTCCATTTGTTTGTGTCCTCTCTGATTTCCTTGAGCAGTGGTTTATAGTTCTCGTTGAAGAGGTCCTTCACATCCCTTTTAAGTTGTATTCCTAGGCATTTAATTCTTTTTGCAGCAGTTGTGAATAGGAGTTCACTCATGATTTGGCTTTCTGTTTCTCTGTTATTGATGTATAGGAATGCTTGTGATTTTTGCACATTGATTTTGTATCCTAAGAATAAGCCGTACTTTTTAATATAAAATATTTTAGTCATACAAAAAATGCATATAAAGCAAATGACATAGAAACAATATGATTAATATCCACCTCTGGACTCAGTTGGCTTAGGAAAATATAAATATTTCACTACACTTGAAACTGATTGCATATTTATCACTTTCCTCTTTCCCTTTCTCCAGAAACCTCTATATCTTTAATTTGGAATTGGTCATTTTCTTATATTATTCTATAGTATTTTTTAATATCTATGTATTTCTCACCAATAGATTTTTAGTTTTGAGATATTTTTTCTACTCCATAGAAATGGTATGTATATTTATGCAATTTGATCTTACTGCCTAATATTATATTTGTGTTTTTTGTTTTGATTTGTATTATTCTGGTTTTTTTTCTATACTGTATGATTTCATTGTATGAATATCTCCCATTTATTTATTCTCATGTATTAACATGTGCTTCCATTTGATATTTGCTGTACTTTACCTACAGTTCAATTGTGAACATTATTGCACATGTCTTCTGGTGGTTCATGTGTGAGAGTTTCTATAGGTAACCTGCACACCTGGGCATGAAATTTCTGATTGTAATACATGCTCATGTTGGGCTTTACTAGATAATGCTAGATTGTTTTTAAAGTGGTAGTTTACACTCCATGGCAGCTCTTTATTGTTTTGTGTGTTCCTGTATTCTGTGTCCTTGCCATTTTAGGTAGATGATGTCTCATTGTGGTCTTACTTTGCATTTGTTTGGTTACTAATGAGGTCAGTCATATCGTTGTGTTTTGTTGTCTATATTTTTCTTCCTCTGTGTAATATCTGTTTATGCCTTTTCTTTCTGATTTGTAATAATTCTTTGTATATTCTGGATATATATGTTATAAATATCTATAGGATAGACAAGAACAAGCTATCTGGTAAGGTGATATTCAGAAATATAAATTAGGTGAGGAAGCAAGCCATGCAAATATCCAAGGAAAAAATCATTTCAGGCAGAGGAAACTGTCAGTGTAAGACCCCAAGGCAGAAACACACTTCAGGGGCAAGATGGGCATCAATATGAAGGGAGCATGAGGGAGACTATGCAAGAGTAAATTGGGCCTTGTAGAGCTTGATAAGAATTTTAACTTCATTCTAAGCAGGATCAGGAGTCACTGAAAATTCAAGCAAAGAATGACATAGTCTGATTTAAGTCTTTAAAGTTGTATAGAAAATAGGCTACAAAAAACAAAAGCTGGGAAACCAGCCAGCATATGTTACAGTAGTCCAACTGTGATTGTGGGGATGTAAATTATGGTGCAAGCAGTGGAAGCAGGGATTTGAATTTGGGTTATATTTTCATCGTTATCCACCAGATTTGCTGATGTATTAGATATGAGGTGAGAAAGTAAGTGAGGTATCAATAATGACTCTAGAGTTTGGGGCTAGAGCAGGTGTAGATGAAGTTATAAACCTGGAAGATGCATGTTTGGGCCAATGCATCAAAGTTCTGCTCTAGACATATTAATTTGAGGGGTCTGTTAGAAATACAAGTGGAGAGGCCGAGACGCGGGAATCACGAGGTCAAGAGATCCACACCATCCTGGCTAATACAGTGAAACCCCGTCTCTACTAAAAATACAAAAAATTAGCCGGGCATGGTGGCGGGCGCCTGTAGTCCCAGCTACTCGGGAGGCTGAGGCAGGAGGATGGTGTGAACCTGGGAGGCGGAGGTTGCAGTGAGCTGAGATCACGCCACTGCACTCCAGCCTGGGCACAGAGTGAGACTTCGTCTCAAAAAAACAAAAAAAGAAAGAAAGAAAGAAATACAAGTGGAGATGCTGAGAATACAGCTGGATAGTTGAGTCTAGAGTTTTTGGGAAAAGCTGGGACTAGGACTGCAAATTTGGTAATCATTAATGTCTAGATGATATTAGAGACATAGAACTAGGTGCAGACACTTAGAAAGAGAGCATAGTTATCTAAGAGAAGTCTGAGGACTGAGCTCAGGGTACTCAAAGATTTAGAAGTTGAGAAGATGAAAAACAGCTAGACAGAGAGACTGAAAGAGTGACTACAAGAATGAAATATGTGGAAGCCAAATGAATAAGAGCGTTAAAAGAAGACGGAAATGATCAGTGTGTTAAGTACTTACCCGGGTTAAGTCCAGGACTGAGAATTGGCCATTGTTTTTTGACATTTGGAAATCTTTGAAGGCCTTGCCAAGAATAATTTGGTTGGGATAAGGAGAGGAATGACCTGACTGGAGAAGGTTCAAGGGAGAATTGGAGGAGAGGAAATGGAGAGAGTGATGTTTCTCCACGGAATAGATGATGTGTGAGAGGGACTATTAGAGGATGCAGACAAGAGGGCAGATGATTTCAGAGAAAAGTCCCTGAGTGGGTGACAAGGACTAAGAATTGGTACTGAAATGTCAGGAATATGAACTGTAACAGGAGGGAAGGCAGAGTACAGGGGTAGCCATACGGTAGATTGGCCACAAAGAAAACATTTTCCAAATGGGGCTATATTCCCCCTAAGCCTCCCCCAAATCATTACCTCTGCTTCTGATTCAATCCCTTAAAACCTCATCCATCAGCTGGAATGAGAGACAACTAATAAATAATAGATAATAAAGACAAGATATTCAGAGTGGAAGATGGAAAAGACAGTACTGTATTCTTTCATTCATTTAGCAGACATGTATTGCCAAAAGACACTGGAGAAAATAAAGATGACAAACAGGTGGTGCCTTTGTTGAAGATTATAGTCAAGGACAGGAAAACTTTAGCCCTCTTCTTAACATTTTCTTCCCTTAGACACCACACACACACACACACACACACACACACACACACACACACAGAGTTCCTGGCATATACCATATACTCTGTAACTGTTCCTTCCCTTCCTTATACTCTGTAACTGTTCCTTGCCTTCCCTTTGTGACTCATTTCTTCCCCCAGAAAGCTCATTTGATCTCTGCAAATAATTTTGAATCCCCTTTGTTTCTAACCATGGCAATTGTTTTGTTTTCCCATCTCCTACAAGTTCTAGCTCAACCCGTCGGGGCTTTTTTTTGTTTGTTTTTTTGTTTGTTTGTTTTGAGATGGAGTTTCTCCCTTGTCACCCAGGCTGGAGTGCAATGGCATGATCTTGACTCACTGCAACCTCTGCCTTCTGGGTTCAAGTGATTTTCCTGCCTCAGCCTCTGGAGTAACTGGGATTACAGGTGCCCACCACCACACCCAGCTAATTTTTGTATTTTTAATAGAGGCGGGGTTTCACCATGTTGGCCAGGCTGGTCTCAAACTTCTGACCTCAGGTAATCTGCCCACCTCGGCCTCTTAAAGTGTTGGAATTACAGGCATGAGCCACCATACCTGGCCATTCCTTGGGGTTTTATAGAACAAGTATGATCCTTTTTCCTTATGACAATACCCTGAGTTCAGAAATCTCAGAGACAAATGTTTACAGAGACCAGGTAAATAAGTAGCTAGAGTGACAAGACTTAAGAAAAGAGACCATTGGCGTACCACCAGTTTGTGGAGGGAACTGGACAAACTGGAATACCCATGCCCCATCCAAAGGCAACCATTGCAACTAAGCTTTAACAGATTGTTGCCACCTAAGTAATTCACGGATGGTCTCGTAATTCACGGATGGTCTCGTAATTCTGGTCAGCATTGTCTGAGCCAAACAAAACATATCTGTGGGCATGATCAGATACTAGAGCCAGCAGACTGCAACCTCTGCTTAGATAATTGCAGGTGTCAGCCTTCCCTTGGCTGAACAGCCACTTCACACTGATAAGTAGCCCTTGCCTGGCACAAAGCAGGTGGGGCTGAATCCAGCCTGATATCACATCACCAGAACTTCCTCTAAGTCTCCTCAAGGCATCTGTGAACTACCAGCAGCCCAAATAAGCATCTTTTTCTCCTTCAATCATTTCTCATAAAGCAGATTCTATTCATCTCACCATCCATCTTTTTCCCCTAACATATGAGAATTCATCAAAGTAGAAACTCTAGAAATCATCCAGAAATACAAATGTGATCTGACCAGCATGGGTGTAAACTTCCTCTTTCATTAATTTAGAAAAAGGTTGATTAATTTTGAGTCTTAGATCTCATAAAAGTATAGCTGTATTGATTTTAAGATATCAATGAACCCACTGAAATTGTATAAAAAGATTTTGTGTGGCTGGCAAACAAATGCTTTTCTTTTAACATATTCTTAAAAGAATAAAGCCCCAAAGAAGATTTAACAACCACTATAGACTAAGTTTCAGTTAATGTAGTCTGTAGCATTAGCTTTTGGAAGACTGTTCTGTCAGAATATGGACCAATACTGAGTTTAGTCTCTACTAAAACTGTTTGTCTTTTTTTTCATATCTTCTCCTACACAGCTCCATAACCCCTGCAGAATACTGGTATAATTACCCACACCCCACCCACCCAGTGATTGTTGATGTAATTAATTATTTAATCCAAGTCTGAGGCCTAAACTTTTTTTAATCAAGCGTCACATGTTTTAATTTTATTCTATTTCATTTCATTCGATTGATGCTAAAATGTATAATGTGATGATTCTAAGATTTAGGAAAAATAATATTATACTGGGATATGGAGTTTCTATATATTTACATGAACCTCCTTTTTTTTCTTCTCTGTAGGTCGAAAATTTAAAAAGTTCAATAAAGTCAGAGTTATGAGAGCACTAGATGCTGTTGCTCTCCCACAGCCAGTGGGCATTCCAAATGAAAGCCAAGCCCTAAGCCAGAGATTCACTTTTTCACCAGGTCAAGACATACAGTTGATTCCACCACTGATCAACCTGTTAGTGAGCATTGAACCAGATGTGATCTATGCAGGACATGACAACTCAAAACCTGACACCTCCAGTTCTTTGCTGACAAGTCTTAATCAACTAGGCGAGAGGCAACTTCTTTCAGTAGTCAAGTGGTCTAAATTGTTGCCAGGTAATAATAATTTTTATATACAGCATGTAATAAAAAATGTACTATGTTTGTTGTATTAGTAGATTGTTAAAACACTCTATGCAGTAAATTATCTACAACATAAAACAGTGTGTGATAGTATATGTTTCAGCAGTTCAAAATATTTGGGACCCTAATATGTGTTGCAGAAATGTAAACAAATAGAGAACACATTGAGTCTTACTGATGAGTCAGAAATTGCATACATTAAACTTATGCTAATAAGAAATACCTTAGGTTTACGTGTTCAACCACAGATATTACGGTAGCTCAGAAATGATAAATTGACCATTTTTTATAAATGCCCCATCTATTCTAAACCTTAATTCAACCAACCTTATTTGGTTGAAAATAAAACAATGTATAAAGTCATATAACAAATCAAAATAGTATTCAGAGTACAGTAAGGTATCAGAAGTAAATGGAGAAAACAAAATTCCTAAACATAAATTACTTAAAAAAAAATAGCATACAGAGAAAAGAATCTCTAGTCACTAATCCTCTAATTTTACCCAGACAAAGGGAGTATATCGCCCAGCAACAGAGAGAACTTGGATTATATCATCATAGAAGAATTTCAGTCACTTTACTTATCAGCTATTTTTGCTCCCTCACCACAGCTCTGTAGGAGCCAAGTACTTGAAAGAATAACAAGGATGAAATTCTCATTTGGTTAAATCTTAGACTGCAGAGCCAGGAGAATACATGTATAGCAATTGTTTGTGAAGGCATTACTCCAATAATTAGGAATAGAACTTTTTAAAAAAACTACATTCTCTTCACATCAGTAATACCCTTGTACTGCTATAGACCAAATTATTTTTCTAATATCTGATCAAGAATTAAACATATTATGTCCTTTTAGTCCCCAAGTAAATTCAATGGCTCTTTTAGAAAAAGAATTTCTTCCCAATTTGCCTTAATATAACTCTCAGTTATTATTCTACCTGAAAGGTTTGAAATACAATAGATGAATTGTTACTGAAAATTCAATTACATGAAACAGAAAAAAAAATAGATACCTGTTTGTTGAATCTTTTAAAAAAATACATACTAAGGAAAGTTAATGGAATTCAGTGTTCTAGTGGAGATGAGGTAATTTTACAGAAAAATCAAAATGCCCAGATTTTTACTGACTTCGGTCTCACTAAAAGGCCTTAAACAGATAATAATTTTTTGAACATTCTGAATGTTTAGGATTTATCACGTAGTGGTTAGCAAACTTGACAGAGCTTTAATAAATAAAAATATATAACCCAATAGCATTGATGAACTTTTTCTATTTAAAAATGAGTGTTTAAACATGTGTTTATTTTTCTCCATTGTTCTATTATTTGGAAAATATGATTTCTTTGATTTTTGTTGATATAGTTTATATGCCTTTTGTTTGCAATTTTGGAGGTACTTTACTGTTTAAAAAGATTCTAGCATCAGCTGGCAACGTTAGAAAATAACCAGTTATACTTGAAAAGATGACTTATTCACTTTGGATAAAAGCTAAGTGACCTTTTTAACTGGAAACAGTTATCTGTCAGAATTTTTTGACCCCCACACAGCCTCAAAAAGGAATGAGAGAAAACTCTTACATTGAATTTGGTGGCAACTTTTTTAATGCTGCAAAATGTAATTTTTGTTTAGTAAATCAGAATAATGGCAACACTAGTATTACCTATACTTTTTCCATTAATTGCAAACAGGGAAACATTGAGATTATCAAAGTGTCTTGTGGCCTGTGGACTTTTAAAACCATATTTTCATGGTTTGCATTTTGGGAATAGCACTACTGAATGAATTATGAAAATGGCCAGTGAACTAGAGTGACTATTTGACCTCTGAGAAAGGACTTGGAAGGATACACGTATAGAAAATAATTTAGGCCGGGCGCGGAGGCTCAAGCCTGTAATCCCAGCACTTTGGGAGGCCGAGACGGGCATATCAGGAGGTCAGCAGATCGAGACCATTCTGGCTAACACGGTGAAACCCCGTCTCTACTAAAAAAATACAAAAAACTAGCCGGGCGAGGTGGTGGGCGCCTGTAGTCCCAGCTACTCGGGAGGCTGAGGCAGGAGAATGGCGTGAATCCGGGAGGCGGAGCTTGCACTGAGCTCAGATCCGGCCACTGCATTCCAGCCTGGGCGACAGAGTGAGACTCTGTCTCAAAAAAAAAAAAAAAAAAAAAAAAAAAGTAATTTAGTATCATTAGCTACTTAAAACTGATTTCAATTGACTTTAAATAAGCTTACAGTTTTTATTCACTTATTCACTCAATAAATGTCTCTTATGTACCTGCTGTGTGCAATATCTAATAATTAAACAGTGGTTTAGAAAGAAAAGCCACAAGGCTGGGCTCATGGTGTGAATGCATTTTGGTGCAGCACATCCTAGCATCTGGTCATCAGTTTTGCATGTAAAAGAAATTTATTTCATTCATTCACTCATGTGCAATGTAAGTCTGTGGAAGACAGACTCTTTTAAGTGAGCCTCACTAATAAGCCAGAATGTCAACTAACTTGCTTATTTACAGTGACACACACCCACACACACACACACACACATGCATGCACACACACAATATAAATATAATACTTATGTTGCTAGGAACATATATTAACAGATCAGATCATTCTTTCACAATAGGAAACTGTATTCGGGAAGTCACATTAAGATCTGATACAGAATGACCATCATAACAAAGGTGACAGCATTTATGAAGACACCTAGGCATATATTTGCAAGTGCCCTGAGAATTCTTATTGCCTGGTCAGGGCTTTCTCATTTCTCCTTTGTTTATACTCTTCCATTATCTTGGATCTGTTATAATAATGGTAGTTTATATTTCTTCAAAAATATTTCAAATATATCCTTTCTCTTTCTTTTTTTTTTTTTTTTTTTTTTTTTTGAAACAGGGTGTCACTCTGTTGCCCAGGCTGTACCGCAGTGGCACGATCTTCGCTCATTGCAGCCCGGACCTCTTGGGCTCAAATTATCCTACCACCTCAGCCACTTGATTAGCTGGTAGCTGAGACACTACAGGCATGCTCCACCTTGCTTGGCTAATTTTTAAATTTTTAGTTGAAATTGGGTTTAACTGTGTTACCCAGGCTGGTCTTGAACTCCTGGGCTCAAGTGATCTGCCTGCCTCAGCCTCCCAAAGTGCTGGAATTACAAACGTGACCCGCCGCGCCCCACCCCATTTTCTTTAATAGAGACTTGCAAGATGCTCTAAACTTATGTCAGCACATTTAGAAAACATTTCTTAGGATGCATTGCCAATGAATGATTTTACATTGACTTTTATCTGTAGCTTCAGTCGGCAATATTTGCTTATTTGAAATGTAGAGCAAAACTATATTTGAATTTTTTAATGAACAAGACATAGTCCATCTATTAAGGAGAATGCAATCCAATGGGAGAGAGAAGATACCCAAATAACTATAGTGTTATGTGAAAGTGATATAAGATACAGATATAATGAAAGGGTGGGGGGCAGAAGAACATTTTTGGCTTCAAGGACTAAAGAAGACTTCAGAGACAAAAATGTCAGTTAAACTGCATCTCGCAGGAGAAACAAGACTGATAAATCATGATAAGAGAAAGCATTCTAGATAGAAGGAACAGTGTGGCTGAAATAAGAAAAGCATGAGATAGGTTTGGTGAATAATGCATTAAACCAGCATATTAATGGTTCTCAACCTTTTCAAGTGTGGGGTTCCCTTAGTAACATCAAAAATTTTATACAGTCTCCCCATAGGGAAGGAATTAAAGCTTTTAGTAGCTACGGATTGAGAAAACACATTTGTACATACGGTCCCTCAGACACTGCTACAGTAAGTACTGGCCTTCAGGGAATTTAATCACCCAAATGCTAAGAAACCATTGACAATAAATTTATTTTGAACTGAATCATGGAAAGTAAACTTAGAGGTGTAAGTTATAGGCTGATCAAGGATGGTCTTAAAAATTACTGTAGATGTTAGAGTTTAAATTAAAAGTACTAATTCACAATTCAGTATCACCTTTAAATTGTCCTCATCCTGTACATCAATACATTGCAGTGAAATTGATGTGACAGAGGGGGTATGAGGGAAACATTTCTGTTGCACAAATTTTGTCTTGATATTTCAGTTAATTTAGTGAAAACTCCATTTAGGTCAATGCTTTGACATTTTTAAGCTTTGCACTTTTTAGGACATACTTTATTTGTGTCATTTCACCAGACTACTTGCAATTATTAGTATCAGGATATTGGAACAGTATTTTGCCTCGTTTTTCTGCTTTTGAAGCATGCCAAAACAACTTTTGAGTCAGTGACAGTCATTGCATCTTGACAAAGGATTTTTTTCTCTTCCTTCCCGAATCAGAAGAGTAAATTAAATTATTGCTGTCCAGAAAAAAATGGTGAGAGAGAAATGAGAGTAGCATACTGAGAGTAAAGGCCTTGATAAATGTGTTGATAAAGACTAAAAAATTGTTTTTCTCACATCCTATTCCACTGAAATTATGATTGCCAATGGCAACAAAAATTTTTACTTGTCAAATCAGATGAATATTTCCAGCCCTTAATGTGTTTCACCTACATCTGGGACTATTGGCAAAGTAACTATTTCTTGCTAAAACTCTTGCTTAGGCATTTGTTACTTCGCTTCTAGGTAGATATGTTTCTCTCCCTATGTATACTTCCTGACTCCTGTGTGGATTTGTTCTTCCACCCACACTATAAATTTGTGTTCTGAGTTCTATCTTTTCCAGTCATTTCTCATTCTACACAGTCTGCATAAGCTCATTCATAGTCTTGTCTTCAACTACCACTATATTGTGATGACTCCTAAATACATAGTATTAGCCAGACCCTCTACAAAACTACTGAACTTTCAACTGCTTATTACACAACTCCACCCAGATGATTTCCAAGTCAACATGACCCCATAAACCTAAGGCCTTTTTCAATATCTTGAAATGGCACCTCAGCCAGAATTCTTGGT